CCCTTCCGCGCACTGGTAGAGCCTCCCACTCCTCCTTTATCCTCCGCCCCAGGGGAACTCTGAGCTTCTGCACCTACCCTGGCTTCCACCCAGGGCCTCTCCAGCAATCCCCTCAGCCAGGACCAACACAATTCTTCCTTCCCTGACCTCATGCAGTGAAGGTCAACTGAGTGGCCAGCCCAGAATTTAGCAACTCAGAGTGGGAGAACCTTCAGCTTGGTTCTTTAATAATTTAAGAGTAACACCTGGCCACCCCAGAAAGTCCCGATCCTGTGGGCAAGTGTTCAGGCCACAGCGGGAAGCGCCAGGCAGGACTGCCCACCCCCTACCTGCTGGCCCACCCACAGCTGCCACAGGGGAGTCTGGGCAGAGAGCAGCGACTGTGGACAGCCTGGCACCAGCGGCAGTGCTGTGCCCAGGAGGGACAGCAGGAAAGACAGGGGCCCCGGCCATGCTGTAGCAGCCACTCTGGGCAGAGGCAGAGGTGGGGGCGGGGGCTGGCCTGATCGTGGCTGCAACAGCTTCCCTGCAATGGTCTTTTCTTTCTTAAACTTTATGTCTCACAAAAACTTCCCAGAAATTTTTAATATTCTGGCTAACAGATCACATTCCCAGATGCTGTTACTCCCAGAGGGGCAGAACGCTCTTTCGTCAGTGCACATGCCCCAGTTTTGGATTTGGACTATATGGTCAACTGTGATAAAGCTGCTGTTCCGGGCCATCTTGTTCACTTCAGGGTAAACAGCAAAGGTGGTGGGTGGGAGCTGGAGAAACGAGACTGGAAGGGCAGCTCAAGGCCAAGACAGCCTCGCATTTTCTTTTGGTTCTGGAGGGTGCAAGGCTGGAGAAGCCCTTGAAAATGTGAGATGGACCTGGAGCCAGGTGACTTGTAGGGCCAACCAGAGGATCCCCTGGCTGCCCACAAGGTGCAGGCGGACAGCTTGGGCCGGAAGAACATCTGTATTTTCTTTCCCCAGCCTGCATAAATTAACAATCTTACACAAACGAAACAACAGGCTCCTTCCCTCTCCCCAGAGTGCCAGTCACAGAGCACTGCCAAATCCCAAGGGTTACATGCCCCAGCGATCTTCCTTTTCAGGGGACAAAGCGGCTCTGTGCAGTGCATTCAGTCACCCCCACCGGGTGATTCAGGGCTTCTGAGAGCAATAGTGTCAGCCAAAGCTCTGGGTCACCGTGGGACAGGCCTCTGTCTCAGCACCCGGAGCGACAAGCTCTTTGCGTGGGCCAGGAGCTCCTTAATGTGGGCCAAGCCCAGTCCTGCCACCTTGGCCCCATTCACCTCCAGGATCTCATCCCCCACCCCCAACAGTCCTGAGTACAGCTTGGCTGTGTTCACGTCAGCCATCTCCTGCACGTAGAACCCTGCAAAGGAAAACAGCAGAGTTTAGCAGGTGAATCCTCCTCTGAGACTTGCATCTCGAGGAATGGAGGGATGCCGAGGGGGTGGTGCTGTTTGGGCACAGGAGGCCTTCTCCGGGCATTCTGTGTTCCCGCCTCCACAGTATGATTTCAGTTGTTGCTCTTTTAAAATGCCCTACTGCATTTAATGGAGATGCAGGCTTTTCCAGGGGAAATTGGGCCCCTCTTCCCTTCCCCACACCTTGCTGAGGGGACACCAGAGTCTGGGAGCAGGAGCCACTTGGTTGTAGACTTGAGGGTGTGGGCTTGGTGCAGCCGACAAACGCAGCTGAATGCCCTGGGGTAGCCTGGTGCTGCCTGGAGCACTCTGCCCTTCCCTGCTCGGGCTCCCAGCTCCAGGTTCAACATTAAGCAACTGCCCACACGTTACTCCCAGCTCTGCCTTCCTGGAATCTGCTTCCTTACACGGAACCAGGTATGACATCCGGTCTGGTTCCTCAATCTCCAGCTGGAAACCATTTCATGCATCTTGGACTAGTGGGAGGGCATCTCTAGGGCCTCAACAGAAGTCAGGTTTTTCAAAGGCTACTCTCCTATATGTGGTTTTAAAAGTGCACAGATGGGGGCCCTCCCTGGTGGTGCAGCAGATTAAAGCTGTGCAGCACTGTGAAGCTGGCTGTGACTGCCTCTGTGCGAGTTCAATCCCTGCCCCGGGAGGTGACCCACATGGCACGGCAGACCTATCCTGACCCGCCTGCTGCTCCCCTCAGCAGTGTACTTTGTCAGTTGGCCTGTCCTGCTCCCCACTCTGTCTCTGGTGAATCCTCTTACCACCTCTGACCTGCACCCCCATTCTATACGCATAAATAATTCTTTTTTTAAAAATGTGCACAGATGTTACCTTCAAGGCACTTGAAGGTTTGCAGCTCCAGGATCAGAAAAGAATCTTTTGCCACACTCCCTCTTCTGGGCCAAGCAGGGGAATGCCTTCCTGCTGCTTGGCCACACTGAGCCTCTCCTGCAAGGCTGCCTCCCTGCAGACATGGGGTGTTGGCCCTGCCCGTGTCTTTTCGCTCAGTTTTATACTTTTACTTCCTTCTATCTGGGTGTCCTGCCTTGGGTAGGGGAGAGGTCAGGTAAGGAAAGGAAGGAGGAGCCTGAGAAGTGGGCGCTGTGCCGCAGGGCACAAAGGTGAGAGTGATGAGCAAACCTGAAACTGCTACCAGAGTGAGACAGGCCGGATGTCACGTCTGCCACTGGAGAAGACTCTGAGGAGTGTTTGCAGCTGAAAGTCAGCACAGCTAGGAGTGACAGCTATTATTGGCAGGGAATGGCCTTTAGTAAATGTGGGTGATCTCGAGGCCATATCCAGTGAAGCTGCAGGCAAAGCCAGCTATGCTCACATGTTTGGAGCGACTCAGATGTGACAGCCAGCAAGCTAACACCAGGGTAGCGACATTTTAGAAGGAGCACGTACCAGCCCCAGCTCTGAGGCCAGGGAGAGGTGACCCTGGCTAGAAGAGGATGGCCTGTGACAAGAAAGCACCAAGGCCAGCCATGCTGGGGCCACCAGCGGCACAGCAGGATGGGGAGCAGGTGTCATGGTGACCGGTGCCCTGTGGGGCAGGCAGAGTAGCCCGAGGGCCATTATAGACGGCTGCCTTCATACCCCAACCACCTCCGCAGGGCCCCAGCACAGAGCTCTGTGGTATGTGAGCTCATTCTGACAGGTGAGCGGGAGCCCCAACAGCCCATCTTGGCTCCCCAAATACACATTCTCTTTCTGGAGACGGAAGAAAGTGCTAGGCACTTCCCTTCTGAGCCTCCCCGGTAGGTTTTCTTATTTTCATTTGACAGATTGAGGACTTGAGGCCAGAGGGGCAAGTATCCTGCTTAAGGTCGTGCAGCCAGCAGGCCTGGAGCACACCCATGCCGCGTGGCCTCGGTGCCCCATGCTGCTTTCTGGAGGCCTGTGTCCCTGTCCCAAGGAGAGAGGGAGCCGCGGGAGAGAGCCAGGACCCACAGCCTGCAGAGCTCTGATAGCTGTCCGGTGGCGTGAATGCCCCCAATGCCACCTCCCTGTGAGGCCAGAGACATACCCTCCCGCGGCCCCCAGCACTCTGCCCCCGATTCCTCTCACACTCGTGTCAAATCCACCAGCAAACAGAATTAAAACTACCCGCAGGTCAACACCAATGCAACCACTTTCTCACCAGCTCCATAGCCACCCTGGGCCAGTCACACCATCACTGCTCCACTGGACGGTCTCCATAGCTGGGCTCCCTGCTTCATCCCACTAGGGTCTATTCTCAGCACAGCCGCTAGTGACACGGTCGACGGGAACATCAGCGAGTCACCTGCTACCCCGGCCCAGGTGGCCTCCGCCCCACGGAGTGAAAGCTAGAGCCTTCCAAGCTCCACTGGTCCCTCTGTCCCTGCCTCCGCCTCCGCCTGCCTGCCTGGGCTCCCAGGGCTGCACCCCAGCTGCACCCTCCCACCCCTTAGCTTCTGCCCTTCCGCTCTGCTACCTGCAACGCCCTCATCCCACACCGCTCCTGAGTCTACACCAGCACCCCTCCTAGCCCCTCTCCAGTCCTCCCCCTTCTTTGTCTGTTTCTGTCTGCCTGAGTGTTTTCATGCTGATGTATATAGAAACATAACCTATAACATGTACATTCTGGGTAGGTGCCGACGGCCTGCCTCCTGGAAGGTGCCTGCTCTTGGCACGGGGGTTCTGTCTGTTCACTTACTGCCATGACCCTAGCACTGATGACACCCAGTAGGTGTCCTGTAGGTAGCTGGCGAAACAACAGTGGAGCAGACATGAGGTCGGCAAAAGTATAGCATAGCAGACAGGTGTTTTTCCCAGGTTATGTAGCTTTGACCCAGGAGGTCAAGCACAGGACTAAAGCTTCCTCTGCAGAGCAGGGCCAGGCAGGGCTAGCTGGGGTCTTCACCTGTCCTTCCTCTGCTCCTCCTCCCTCCCACTTTTTCCCTCCCCCCAGCACATTGCCTTCCTTCCTTACTCAAGGAAGTATCCTGCAGGGCCTTGTACCCTCAATGGGATTCTGGACCATAGATCTTGGCAAAGGCTTGGGCAAATCATTTTGCCCTGAAGGGCTCACAAGGCAGGGCTGAGAACAGGCCCAGGGCAGAGCCGTCCAGAGCCCCAACCTGACCCAGCCTGTGTGGGATGAAGACCAGCGGGCAGCCCAGCCAGGGGCCTGGAGCCAGGAACCATGTGACACAACCCTCAGGAGGTACCTGGGCCACAGACAGGCAGGCACACGCCACGTGCCCAACACTCTGCAGCTGGAGGAGGGAACCGTTTAAACACAGCAGCCACATCAAAGGGATCCCGAGCCCGGCAAGCACAAACAGCCTCCCTCTGGCTCAACGGGGAGAAAATGGCCTTTAAGACTCTGGTTTCAAGGAGTCAGCAGACGGCAGCGGGACAGGGGCGTGAAGCCTGCCAACTCTACCCTCCACTGCCTCCCACCTGGACTCTGCAGAAAGAGCCCCTGCGGGAAGAATTCCAGTCATTTCCAGAGAGGCCCTCTGAATACAGAGCTCCACCTCTCAGCCAAAGATCAGAAAAAACACCTGGAACCACAACCAAAAGGCCTCTCTGTGGTGTGCTGTGACCCCAGGGCTGTGGAGCCCAGAGCGGGGAGGGGGCATACCTGAGTCCCGGCGCCCACTCCCGGAGGCCACACAGAAGCCGAAAGTGCCTTCTGGGGAGCACTGTAGCTGCAGCTGGCTCGTGCCATCTGGAAATACCTCCACTACACGGCCCACCCTGCGAGCCAGGCTGGGTGCACCTACGTCCTCCACACTGAGGGCACGTCGGAACAGAGCCGGGGCTGGCCTGCGAGGGCACCAGAGACAGAGTGAGGACAAAGAAGACCAAAACCAGGGCCTCCCCCGTCCTGGATTAAAGATATTTAAGGCCTCCTAACTGACACTGGAGACTGGGGTGCCAAATACCTCAACCAGTGAAGAGCTGGAGGTGGGGGGGTTCCCACAGCTGTTCTTTGTAGAACTAAAGGACCATTCCCCTACACGAGCAGGGGTCTTTAATCTTTTAGGTAGAAAGGCCTCTCTGAAAACTTGATGAAAGCTATAATTTTATATAAAATTTCCAGGTGTTAAAAGACACCCTGAGGCCCCACTGTGGAGCTCTGAATAAAGAGAAGCTAGCTTACAGGGTTGCGCCAAAGGTAGGGGGCAGGTCACAGGCCTCGTTTCCGGAGAGGGGAACAGTGTCCCTGTTTCTGGGTCGTTGATAGGCTTTTTAGCTGAGTTAAGGCAGCGCTTACCTTAAGAGCCTAGACAGTGAAGGAACTGAGGAACCTTCCAACTCTATCCCTCCCAGCAACCCCACACCTCAGAGCCCAATCACACAGGGCAAAGGTACTAAGGTAGCACCCAAGACAAAGGTAGCTGCCTCAAGTTCTTTCACAGGGACCATTCTTTGGGCCACGCTCACTGGCCAATCTCTGAGTTTATCCTCCAAGTCATTTGCCCAATCTTACCTGCCAGCTGCATGGTCATCCTCTGGCTCCTCTACCAGGTAGAGGCTGGAACGGTCTGTCTTGCCACTCAGCAGCGACTGGAGGTTCTGAAAAGAAAGGTTTCTGAGGTTGGTGAGAGGGTGACACCTGGTGGGCAAGGTCCACTATTGCAGGTAAGAAAAGCTACTTAGTGAGGGAGACCTACCCTCAACCCCACCCCCAACTCTGAGCCTGAAATCACTCCTGGAAAGTGACCTTGGCGCTTCTGTCTGTACTTCAACAAGGGCTCAACAGGAACCACCACTACCTCACTCAAGGAGATGGGCCTACAAAGGTGACCTGAAGCTTATTTTTTTAGAAATTTTGGGTAAAGTAACAATTAGCACTCTGATACTAATTAGCTATCTCATTGATGAAGAAAGACTAATTTTCAAAAAAAAAAGAAAAAGAAAACCTAATTTACTCATTAATAAAAAAAATGAAAGCAAATTGCTTAGAGTTAAAATCTTAAATATTATTTTGTGAACCTTTAATATCCTATTTACGGTGGCTTAGATTAAAAAAAAATATCTAAGTATGCACCTTTAAAAAACATCATGTTTTGGTGGATTAAAGCACAGCACTAAGAAGGTAAAGCCCCTTCAGCCTGAATTCCATCCCTGTCCCGGAGGTGACCCGACCTGCATGGCCAGCAGACCTCTCCTGACCCGCCCCTCTTGCCTGCTGCTCCCCTCAGCAGTGTACTTCCTTAATCTGCCTGTTTTGCTCCCCACTCTGTCTCTGGCGAAGCCTCTCACTGCCCCTGCACCTCTGGCCTGTACCCCAGTTCTGTATGTCTAAATAAATAAATCTTTTTTTTTTAAAAGATTTATTTATTTGTGCATACAGAGCAGGGGTACAGGCCAGAGGCTCAGGGGCGGCGAGAGGCTTCACCAGAGACAGAGTGGGGAGCAGAACAGGCAGATTGATGAAGCACACTGCTGAGGGGAGCAGCGGGCAGGTCAGGAGAGGTCTGCCATGCCATGTGGTCACCTCCGGGGCAGGTGGGAATCAAACTCATGGGGAAGTGGCTTAAGCTTCCTAGTGCTGTGATTTAACCCATTGCCACCAGGGAGGGCCATAAATAAATAAATCTTAAGAAAAAAATATCATGTCTTAGATGAAGTAAAAATTTGAACTTGACCAAAAAAAAAAAGATAACAATTGCCAGAGGAAATACGGAAAGGATGGAGAGGTTCAGGAGGGAGGCAGATGGGGTTTGGTGGAGGCTAGAGAGAGAGAAAGAGAATTAAAACCAAAACCAAAACAAAAACAAAACATGGTGCCTAAAAAATTGGACAAGACAAAACGTCCCTTGAGTGTTCTCAGCTGAGTTAAAAGCCCTAAATGCATGTTGCGCTAGTTGTATGGTTAAGCATAGAAGTCAGGCGTATTCAGAGGACTTCTGGGACAGGGACTGACAGTGTATGAGTTCAAGGCTTCCTAGGAGAAGGCATGTTTTACTTAGACCTGCAGGAGAAATTGGAGTTCCCAAGGGAAAGGAGAGAAGGGGAAGGAGAGAGCCTTCCAGAGGCTGGTTTAGGTCAAAAAGTTATAGCAGGGCCCTCCCTGGTGGCACAAGAGGTAAAGCGCAGCACTGTGGAGCTATCTGCTGCCAGGCAGCTGACTCACATGGCACAGCAGACCTCTCCTGACCTGCCTGCTGCTCTCCTCAGCTGTGCATCTCGGTAGATCGGCCTGTTCTGCTCCCCACTCTGTCTCTGGTGAATCCTCTTATGCCCCACACCTCTGGCTTAAACCCCAGTTCATGAATGCAAGCATAAATAAAATAGTAAAAAAAAAAAAAAAAAGGCAGTTAGAGGACATGGGAGCAGCTGCAGGGTGAGGTGTGAGCACGGGGCCTCTGTCCACTCAGGAGGGAAAAAGAAACCCCAGCAGTGCCACAGGCCCCTGTCCCCCAGCACAACAGCTCAAAGGAACCAGCTCACCCTGAGCTAAGTCATGAATATTTCTAGGTGAAATGGATTCTTGTGTGATTTTTCTGTTAGTTCTCTCCACTCTCAGTCCTCCTTGCTTCCTTGGCTGTCTTTTCTCAGCCTACAATCACTCTTCTGTGACACAAGTAGGAACTTACAGTGTCATTTCCCTGGAGTTTTAGAGAGACGGGATCTCTGCTGACAATACCTCCCAGCACCCCAGCTCAGACACACCCTCCTAACTTCATGAGGAAAGTGAATCCCTGGATACACTGTCACACTAGCTTCTGAACACACAGCCTCTGGTTTTCTGCCTTCCGTTCATTCACATAACAAGTATTCACGGGTCACTGGCCATGTCCCAGGTACTATTCCTGGTGCAAGACAACCAGTGCAATTTCCATTGTCCTGCATTCTTTTCCCTACTTCAGCCTGGAAAATGAAAGACTCTAATACCCCAAACCATAGCCTCCTTTTTCGTTCTGCTCAAGGAAGGGATAGAAACTAGTAGAATATCATATTTAGAAATGCCTGGAACCAAAACCGCTTTTTTCAGAGACCTATCTGAGTGTAGGTTATTAGTGGCTTATCTTTTTAAAAAAGATTTATTTATTGGCCCTCCCTGGTGGCGCAGCGGGTTAAAGCACAGCACTGAGAATCTAAAGCCGCTTCCGCATGAGTTCGATTCCCACCTGCCCCGGAGGTGACCACATGGCGTGGCAGACCTCTCCTGGCCCGCCCGCTGCTCCCCTCAGCAGTGTACTTCGTCGATCTGCCTGTTCTGCTCCCCACTCTGTCTATGGTGAAGCCTTTCGCCGCCCCTGAGCCTCTGGCCTGTACCCCAGTTCTGTATGCACAAATAAATAAATCTTTAAAAAAAAAAAAGATTTATTTATTTATTCATATAGAATGGGGCTACAAGCCAGAGGTGCAGGGGCGATGAATGGCTTCACCAGAGACGAGTGGGGAGCAAAACAGGCAGATTGAGGAAGTACACTGCTGAGGGGAGCAGCGGGGCGGGCAGGGGAGGTCTTTCGCGCCTTGTGGTTCATCACCTCCGGGGTCGGGGACAGAACTCACACTGAAGCGGCTGCGGCCAGCTTGCAGTGCTGCATCCTAACCCGTTGTGCCACCAGAGAGGACCCAGTGGCTTATCTTCTAAGGCATCGGGAAGGGAGAACTTAAGCTAAATTCATTCATTGACTCATTTGTATTGAGTAGGAACACTGTACTGGCCACTGTGTTAAGGACTAGAAATGCAAAGATTAGGTTGCGCTCCATCAAAATAGTCTCACTCCAGTGAGGGGAGACAGACACAAATCAATTAAAATTGCACAGCTGTCCATGGAACAGGGACACACGCAGTGAGATGGGACTGCAGAGTAGAGGCCCCGTCCAGGGAGGGCTGGCAGTGGTGGAAGCAGCAATGCCCAAAGTGTTGACGGATGAACAGACATTCAGAGGTAGAGGAGGTGGAAAAAACATTTCATGGGAAACTCAAGTCCTTGTTACAGAATTCCAAGGAAGTCAAGGACCGGGGTCGAGTGTTAGGAGACTGTTGAGAGATGAAAGCAGCCATATCACAGACCCTTGGCAATGTCAAGTGCTCTGAACTTTATCCTGTGGTGGATGAAGGGCCAACAACGGATGCTCAGCATGGTGGGTGGCTGGGCAAGATCTGCACCCAGAAGGCCCTCTCAAAGGCCATGGGGAAAAAGACAGCAGGGAAGTCACCCAGGGGGGCTGTTGAGGTGAGGTAGTGCAGGTGTGATGAAGAAGGTTCCAGAATGGCCAGATAGTAGACTCCAGGAGGTAGCAGAGCTGAGAGAGAGGGGCAGGAGGAGGGCAGGAAGGTGACTGGGTGGCGGCACAGAAGGGTGGGATGCTGCCTGCCCCCACTGTGCCAGGAGGACCTCCAGAACTTGCTGGGGGGAACGTCAGCAGCTCCCCTTTCTGCACCCTGGGCTCCTGGGGCAGCCTCTTCAGCATTCATCTCGCACCTGGTGGTGGCTACACCTTCATTAGCCTCATACTCCCTTGGGTGGAGGTCTTGGACTCACCAGATGCAGGGATTGTAACGAGGGGGCTTTCTTCACTTTGGGGGTGCTGGTGTGTGAAGCCAGACCAGACAAGGGGGGCCGAAGCTGCTCCACACTGTAGCTGCGGCACTTAGCCAATCTGGACCGTGTGCCCTGGCTCAGGGTCGAGAAGAATTTCTTCAGCCCCAGGGTGGAGGTGAGGCTGCCTCTGCTTTTCGTGCTCTGGTCAGAAGGGGCAGCTGAGGGCAGGCTGGGCCCTGCACAGACCTCCAGTGATGCTCTGCAATTCAAAGATGGACTTGAGGTGGTTGGGAGAGGGCAGGAAGGGGAGGGCACCGGCACAATACCTCAGGGAGGAGGCGACGGCCAGGCTACAGACAGGAAGGGTGAGTGGACGTCTGCAAACTCTGCCTGGGAGGCCTTAGGAACAACCGAGACAAGACACAGCCGAGTGACACCAAGGGTCTTGTCTGAGCTGTTCATTCGTTCAGACGGTCCATCTGCAGGACCTCATCTTGGCCTCCAATAGGTCCTGAAGTAGGTGGGAACAACTGGGTTTTATGGAAAACAAGACAGACAAGATTTGAAAAGATTCTAACTCCTGGGAAGTTAGACAGCAGAGAAGCTGACAAAGGACAACAGAGACAAGCCAGATGTTTGTTTCAGATAGGGCATTAATGAGGTTCTCTGAGAGTCAAATGGCAAGAAGGAGTCAGTCCCACCAAGGCCCAAGGAGAGTGGTCCTGGGGGCAGGAGGTGGGATGGGGGGGCTGGAAGGCAGGGAGAGGCGGGTGTGCTCCGGAGTCTAACAGGTCAGCCCACTAGGACTTGGAGGAGGGAGAGAAAGGGCCCGGCAGGTGGGCAAGGCTGGGTATCCCTGTGCTGTGAGCCAAGGCCAGGGTCCAAGAGGAGCCCCCTTGGGGGATTTAAGCAGGGCAAAGGATATCATTTAATTCAAGTTTTAAGATAATCCCCTTGATGGCTGTGTGGAGAAGGAGCTTTGGGGATGAAAGTCAAGGCACAGAGCAGATGGAGAAGCTCAGAGTTTGACAGAAAGAAGTAAGGCAGCTTGGGCCAGAGAGATGGGGGTGCTGGAGGATGACTGGATGCAGGAGCGGGAGAGGCCCAGTTGGTGGGTTAGAATGGGAGAAGAGGAAGGGGGGGCAGATGATGCCCATATTTGGGGTGAGAGCGCGATGTGGTGTGTTTTCTGGGAAGCAGGTTTGGGGACAATAATTGAGAGTACAGCTGGGCACTGTTGGGTTTGAGGTGCCTGATGAAGATGTCAGGGTAAAGTGGGTGCAGGAGTCTGAAGTTCTAGAAGGATAGAGATGGAGATTTGGTTCTGGATGGCCTGGAAAAGCCATGTACCACAGTAATGGTGAGGTGTGAGAGCCCAAGCCAGGGGGCTGGCTCGCCAAAGTTTGGTGGCCCAGGGCCAGAATGCAGAGCCTCAGGGCTGAGGCAGAGGATGAAAATGGGGATGCTGGGCTGTCTTCCAAGTCCACCAAGTCCACAGTCAGGAGTTAGGAACTGAGAGCTGAGATAAGACAGAAAGCCCCACCTGGGAGTCCCGGGGGCTTGCACCGGCTGCTCAGCTCCCCACATGCCAGTATGGCACCTGGACTGAGGCCAGTCAGTGAATGCTTGGTGAAGGAATAATCCAGAGCACCAGACTAAAAATGGTATGTAAGGCGCATGAACGGTGCCAGGCTGGGAGCGAAGTCTGGGAACCCTGCAGGGATTAGGAAGTAGGACGTGAGCGAAGGCATGCTCACCTCTCCTGATGCACCTTGTTACCCACCTGCACCCCAGTCCCCACCTCCTGACTTGCTCCTGTCACTCACGGAGATGTCACAGGCCCTCTGGAATGCGAGTCGGTGTCCGGCAGGCCTCCCTCTGGTTCCTGGCTGGACTCTGACTCTTCTGTGGCTACAGAAAGGATGGGGCCTTTGAAGCCGACAGCACCAACAGCTGCTGAGGCTGGAACGCCTTGTGGACCTCCTGTAACAACCACAGCATCCCTCTCCGGTCACAGAGGGCCTGGGGGCCAGCCCCGCGGGAGGTCTCTGCTCTGGGACTATCTGGGCAGGGCCATCCCTCACCTGCTCTGCAGTCCTCCAGAGGAGGCTCCCGCTCCTGACTTCGGGGCTTCTTCTCCACCTTGCCCTTGTGCATGGCTACTCCCTGGGGTTCCCACGGCCCCCGGGGAGTACAACAATAGCTTTTGTGGCAGCTGTAGGTAGACAGCAGGTGCCTGCCTTGGGGGCTGCAAGGCTCGTTCTGTCGGAGGGTGGGCTCACAGGTCCAGGGAACTTCACTTTTTGAGGGAGGCAGAGGGGAGTCCACAGACTCTCCCTGGTGAGGGTGCCCGCAGGGTCCAGCCAGAGATGCCTTTCTGTGAGATGCCGGAGAGATGGTTTTCCTTGAAGAGGGAGGGGCTGGCACCCAAACTTCAGGGGAAGGGCGTGGCTGCTGGACCTGCTGAGAAGCAGGGGACTCCAGGGGCCTCTGTGGCAGGGAGACAGTCTCCAGAGGTGCATCTCTTCCTATCACCTGGGCTTGTCGGTCTGGCCCCGAGGACTCCAGTTTTACGGCTGAGGCTGTCCGGCCCAGGCTCTTGGTATCCACAGAATAAGTCCAGCAATTTCCCAGCCCTGAGCCAGGCTGCCAATGGGACCCCAGGGGCACCCACTTAGCCTCCGGAGACTCAGGGAGGACATCTGTGGGGAGCACGGGAGGACATCCTCTGCCTTCTTTCACTTCTTTGGCAACCTCTGCCGGATCAGACCCTGGCAGGTAGCACGGGTCTTGAAGGCTTTTGGGGGGCTCCTTGTCAGCCTTCCAGAACCTCCTGGGCCCCGCTTGAGGCCTGGAGGCCTGAGGGTGGGGGCTACTTTCTCTGGTGGGGTCACTGGTCCTGCTGGGCCGAGCAGCCCCAGCCTCCTCGCTGTGCGTCCTGCAGGTGTTGGAGGTGTCTGTGCCATCCAGGGCAGGGCCCACCTCCTCAGGGCCCACTGATGTGTCCCTGATGTGTGTTTTCTGAAACCATTCCACGTGGAGCCCTTGCTTGGATGGGGGGAGCATAAGAGGGAAGCTCAGCCCCTGGGAGTTAAGAGGTTCTGACAGCATCCCCTCACTCCTTTCAGAAGACTCGGCATCCCAGGGTACACTGGGGCCTGGGGGTGCCTTCCCGGGGGTGGGCAACTGGTCCTCAAGGCAATGACCACAGGCTTGGCACTTCCTCTCACTACCTCGGGCAGGCAGGGCCCAGCAGTCCAGGCCCACTAGCCTGGACAGTGCCTGTTGGGGGGTGTTCCTGCGCTGGCAGCCCCCATGGATGTAGTCATAGAGGTCCGGTTTGGAGCGCAAGGGACCTTGGTCTGGCCCTGGGCGCTGGCGCTGTTGCAGCCTCTCCAAGTAGCGGGACTCGGCTTCTAGGGCCGACTCATCCTCAAAGCGGACATGGGACGGGGCGGTGCTCTGCCTCAGCCACTGCCCGCTGCCGGACGCCCCACTGGAGGAGTCACTCGTGCTGCCACGCTGGAGGCTGTCTCTGCAGGTGACGGGCAACTTCCGGCACGCGGCTGGGCTCTGCCGGCTGTCTCTGATGGGGAGACAGGAGAGAGATTGCAGGCAGCAGGATGGGGAGCACCCGTGGGGAGCCACTGCCCCAGCTGCTCCAAAGCAGGCCTGGGAAGGTGGGTAGCAAGTCTGAGGAGCTTCCAAACCCACCCTACCCCGAAACAGCGCTGAACAGCATCAGCGCCCTTCCTCACTTTCTGTCTTCAACAGACACAAACACGGAGCTGGTTCTGCTTCTCTGACTAATATGCCACGAAAACGTCTCCCTCTCCCTCTGAACACCTGTTCTGGTCCTTTATCATCACAGATGCAGAAGCTGTTAGGCTGGAAGGGACCACATGCCCCTCCTCATTGATACAAAGAACAGGCTACACCCAACCAGGTGCTGACCAGCACCTGAGAAGCTGGGAAGGACAAGCTGTGGGGCTTTTCAGTCCTTGAAACACCTACAAAGGCTTCCCTAACTGTCCCCTTCTCCTTGCCACCTTCCATCTCCCCAGACAAGTAAACTCTGCCCCAATAGCATTTTATACAGATCACAACTTGCTCAAGCTTGCCTGCACACTCCAATGTATTACAACAAAATACATGTGATTTGTGGACTTACTAAAACTTTCTCTCACCGCATGCTCTGGTGATTCGGAGAGTGGGATGCCAGGGCTCTGGAGGCTGTTTCACCACCAGCTCCTTCCTCACCAAATTTACTTCTACCCAGGACAAATACGGCATGCTGTTGAGATAACAGCAGGAAGAAAGTACCACGCTTGACAATTACTGTTAAAACATGACAACCAAAGGGGAGAGTGGTCACTAAACTGGAGACTTCTAGAACCACACGTGGCATTTGCTGGCCCTGAAGTAGCTCACCAGGACATGACCTGCACCCTGGGGTCTCACTTCCATTCCCAGCTACTTCCTTACTCTGTGCCCTCACAGGGAGGCAAGTAAGTACACTCACATTGTGTTAACACGCCTGGATTGCGGATGGCATGGATATGATCTCACAGGCCACCCTTTGGGTTTGGGGGTAAGCTGAGAGGCAAGAGACAAATTGTCTAGTACTGTTTCCCCGTGTAGCCCCATGGGAACCAGCTGCAGCTGAGCACCTCAGGCACTCACCCACCTGCGCCTCAACTATCGGACTCCAGACTTCTGACCACACCAAGGGAGGTGCAGAGCTTGCCCAACCATGAATGCTGAGCTGGTAGAGCAGGATTGGAGCCAAGATCCTGCTGTGGAAACCGCATCACATCGAAGCCCCTGGTTCACATGGAGGGGTGAGTGCCCTCTCAATCATGCAGCTTAAAAATGCAAATGCTGGGGTCTCCCTGGAGTGTGATGTCAGATGTCCCTCACCATCCACACTGCCCTGGATAGAACACTACCCAATGGGTGTCTGCACACCTGGTGTAGCTCCTGACTTCAGGGTTTCCCCCCAGAAGCACTGTCCCAGCAGGAAGTTTTATTTTTTTAAGAACTGCTAAAAAAAAAAAAATAATGAACAGCTATATACCAGAGACATTTTACAGGGGTAGAGTGGGGGATGGGGTGACAAATGGGGGGGGCGGAGGGAAGTGCACTGGATTATGGTGATGGCACATGGGTGATTTGGTGATGGGAAGCCCACGGGGATTACAAATGAGATGGAAAAGGGCACAAAATGATGTAAAAATAAACTACTATGTTAAAAAACAATTTCCCGGGGGGTGGGGGGAATAAAGAACTGCTAAGCCAGATCTGCCTGCTTTATGATCTGAGCAGATGCTTTAACGGGACTGCTCAGGAATACGGACGCGCTGTGGGCCAGCCGGTCTCTGGAACTCACATGCCCACTTGGGAACAGCAGCCTGATGTGGAGCCTGCGTGGCTTCCAGGGGCCCGGAGAGGTTTCCATTTATTTTAAAGTCAAAGAAAGTTTTCACATATATAATATTAACAAATTCACCTTTACACCAGCATGATCATGAACTTGACTTCTACACTGCTTTTATGGAGGAAGGGGCCCACACATGCAGGAGTAGAGTCCTGGCTGAGACCTGAAGTTCCACCATCAGGGCCTATTGAAGAAGGTGCAGAGTCTATGGTCCCTGTGCTGGTGTCCAATGTTGGTGAATGGGCATTCCTGGAGCACCGAGCCTCTGCCCTGGGACCCCACCTATATTCATGTCTCTTTAGCCTTGCCAGATCTAAGGAAGAGGCCGTGGGCCATTCACTGCAGGAGTCACGACTATGTGTGGACCTCTTCAGGGCATTCTTGCCTCTCCAACAGTCCAGGAACAGTACGACCCCACCCCCCAGAAACCAGAGGAGCCCCACTGAGCTCTACCGCCCACACACAGGCAGGATGCACTGGCTGTCCAGGCCATCCGATACAAGAAGGCGCATCACAAGAGTGGGTACACTGGCACCCAGTAACCCCTTCTCAGCCCCCAGTGGCTTTACCCTGCTGTGCAGACCAGACCAGGGCTGTTCCTGTCTAAGGAGGATGAAAAAGGCCCATTTTTAAGCAGTAGATTCCTAACCTAATAAAGGAATCCAGAGCCCATCAGTGACCTTAACTTCTAAATACATGATGTCGTCTAGGGCCAAACCACCCTGAATGCGCCCGATCTCGTCTAAATACATGATGTGAACTGACCCATCCTGGAGTTCATCCTAAAGGTAAAAAGGACATTTCTGCTCAAAGAGGAGTAATGAAGGAGAGCCTTATTACTCCATGATGTAAACCCAGGGGCCTTCATTGCCAGTGTGGGAACAGTACCTAAAGGGGGTGAAGATTTTGGAGACAAGCACAGAGAGAATCAGGCATTTCAGTAGCCAACAAAACTTACCACCCTCCTCAGATAATTCTGGTCTGGCTCAGACCCTTATGGCCTCATAAGGAGCCTTCCTCTTTAACCACACAATTGCTGGGACCCACACAAGGGCAACAGCGTGAAAACAGCCTCCTCTTACACAATAGTAAGGTGTCAGCCTCCAGGCCCTGCATCTTTCTGATGTGTTCTGTCCTCCCAGAACTAAGAATGCCAACCTCGGCATGTTCATCCCCCAAATGCCCTTCCAGGAGCTGCTTGATTGCAATGTCAGTTTGCTTCTTGAAAATGTAGCTTTGGCTACCTCTTCAGCTGTTCAGGCTTGCCCAAGCTACCTCCCCAGAACTACGAGAAAGGGCTTCTGGAGACTTCTCTGCCTGCCCCCACTCTTCCATCATTTTTCACCGGGCTGCTCTTTGGAAGGAGCAATGCCTCTGGATTGGCGGGTGGGGTGACAGACTGCCGCTAACTGGGCTCAGCGCCCATGTGGCATCTCCATGTTAACTCAGCACGGCCCTCCAGGGTGATCTGACAAGCGTAACCTTTATAAGCATCTGCAGCAAGCCATCTGGTGTTGATTTTTCAGCGATACCCTCCGAGGTTTCACCAGTGCTGCCAAGTCAAAGTAATTCTTTTCTGGACACAGCAGCTGCTAAAGTAGGTCACCTTGCATTTCTATAGCATTTCTGTGGCCAGGGGACAGCCTGGAGGAAGGGAACCTACTTGAAGTTTAGTGACTGGGGTTGTTTTGCCCTGCTGATACGATTTGGGGATGAGGACATGTCCAAGAGTATATTTACACAATCAAGTCTGTTTTGCTAATGGACTTGTCTACTTTAAGGCTATGCAATCCAGCCTAATTATCTGTAGAAAGCAGAATGGGCAGGTTCCACGGAGGTCGAAGGTTCTGGACACTATATGCATGTGGGGAACAGTTAGAATGCCTCAAAGAAGCCATGCTATTCCTAAATACTACCCTCCATCCAGAAGTGGAAGGCACAAATGTGGGTATTAAAGGGTAGTCTTTCCCAGGATTTAGAGCCTCCTGAGTCCCTTCCCTAAGGGTCATAACAGCCCTGAGTGCAGGGGCAGGTTGCAGTGTTCATGCTGACATAGTCGCAACAGTGCCATGAAGGTCCTCGGCTGTGAGTGAGTGGGCTCAGCAACCCCATCAGAGAGCAGGTGGTCCAGTGCACTAAGAATCCTCACTCCTGGCCCTCCCAGGTGGCACGGAGGGTTAAGCGCAGCACTATGAAGCACGAGTTCAATCCCCACCCCAGAAGTGACCACACGGCGTCACGGCGTGGCAGACCTCCTCTGACCTGCCCGCTGCTCCCCTCAGCAGTGTACTTTGTGAATCCGCCTGTTCTGCTCCGGCTCTGTCTCTGGTGAATCCTCTCGCCAACCCTGTGCCTCTGGCCTGTACCCCAATCTGTATGCATGATAACTAAATCTTAAAAAAAAAAGATATCATTTGAAAACAGTGGGCATAACCTGGGTCTTTCCCATACGTACAGGAAATACACCTGTTTTTTTAAAAAAAAAAAGAATCCTCACTTTCTCTGGGGCCACGGGGGATGGAAACTGGCAGCTCACTGTTCTCCAAAGCCACAGGCTGGGTCAGCTGCCCAGATGATCTGCTCTGGCCCGGAGCAATTTGGCCTGGGCTGGCAGCCTTATCTGGGGCCCCGGTGCACCTGGTGTGGGCGGTGGTTCCTTGGGGTGTAACTGAGATGGAACAGGCACAAAAAGGAGGGTGAGATGTCACTCGTGGAGCAGACATGTAGATGGAGTGAATCTTGGTCTGAATGTCCTTGAACTTGTTCTTTTCCTGTCCCTTTATCTTGATGAATTCCTGCTCACCCATAGCTCCAGCATCACAAAAGCAGGGTACTGCCCCAAACTGCAGTCTGCCCTCTCTCCTCTGCAGATCTCGTATGCAACCGCCTGAAGAGCATCTCCAGGGATGTTCCATGGACAGCTTTCTCCAAAGCCTGACCCTGCATCTAGGCTTACTCCTTGGTAAGAACCCATACCACGCCCTTCCAAACCTCAGAGCCCTGAGCTCCTTAGGTCTCCTTTCTTCTTCTCACATCAATCAAACAATAGTCAGAGCTAATGTTACCTGCCAGGAGCCCTTCTACATACATCACACACATTCATTGCTGTGCCCGCAAGCAACCCTACTTCCATTTTGCAGATAAGGAAACAGAGGCACACAGATTTCCCCAAAGGCACACAGCTAGAAGTGGCAGGGCCAGAACTGAAACCTAGTGGTCTAGTGCCAAGGTCTTAATAACTTCTTTCCTGCCTCATTAAACCTGCTTGCTTCTGCCTATTGGGCATCTTTTGCTCCACATCCTCCCCCCAACCCCCACCTCCTACCAGGACCAGGATGTAGCCTTCTCCCGGCCCCCGTATCTCAGATCCAACACATCTCCGCAATCTGAGGCTTCACTGAGCTGCAAATGTGATTGTGCTACCCTCCTGCACCATCCTTCAGTGGCTTCTATCTGTTACAGGACACATCCAAATTGTTCAGCAGGCAGGGGGCCTCCATAATTGGCCCCTGCCGAGCTGTCTATCCCTAGAGCCACATGCCGTGGCAGGCCCGCATGCTTCAGCCTGGTCTACCCTCAGCACAGAGTTCGTGCTCAGGGTATTGCCCTGGAAGGCTCACCCCTGCCTTGTCATCTGCCCAGTGAACAGCTACACCTGTTCAGGGACTGGAGGCAGAGACCCCAGAAGGATCTAGAAAGAGTAGGGAGTCTCCAGATTATTTTATTGTCGAAGCTACCTCTGTCGGAGCCTCCCCTGTCCTTTCCTCATAGAATTGCAGGTTTCCTCTACACCCACATTTTCCCTTTACAGTGCTACAGTCCACAGCACTGTACTGAGTCGCCTGCTTGTTTTTCTTCCTGAAGGTTGTGACCTCTGTCCAACCAGGGAGCTGGGAATATGTCTTTTTCATTTTCAAGTCCCCCAGGCATGCCACTAGGCCCCCAGAGAGCTGTACTGGCTGACTCAATGAGATCAGCAAGTGCCTGACATGGGAAACGCACACACACATTAATTCAGCATCCCTGCCCTGGCTGGACCCACTCACCGGCTGCCCCGGGCGATGGTGGGCACGATGTCGTGGTTGGCACGGAGGGGCCGGGTCCTGGCCTTCAGGCGGGCACACTGCAGCAGTTGCTTGGCCTCCTCATGCCTCGGGTTCAACACGGGCTCCGGCCTTGGAACGACAGTTCTTTGGGAAGGCAGCCAAGCCAAAGAGGGCGGGGGAGGGATTAAAAGAAAATATCCCGGATTAGGAGGGCTTTAACAATGTTGAGCCCAGCTCTGTCAGGAAAAGCCAGGCATGTGCAGGCTTTCTTGTCCAGCAACTATACAAAGGGTAGCCAACCTTGGTTGGGTCCTCGTAGACGGCCCTGAGTGACTCAGGTTGGGGCCCAGGAACTGTCCCACCTTGGGTATCTGCTCAGGGACAGGAGGCAGAGACCTCAGAAGGATCTAGAAAGAGTAAGGAGTCTCCAGATTACTGTATTGTCCATTCCCTGGACATACGTGGGTGTTCTCTGAGGAGGAGAGAAGGGCCAGGGTTGCTGGGGTGGGCTCCCACGCCTCACCCCCCTCTCTCCTTCTATTTCTCTCTGTGCCCACACAAACCTGCTCAGGCGCACACAGAGCCCCCCTAAGTTCCTGCTGCAACCTCGGGAGCAGGGCACAGCCCATCAGAGCTCTGCTCCTTTGGGGGGTGACATCTGTACAGCTCTGGAACCTTCCTGCCTCGGTGTCAGATCTGGCTTGGAGCTACGAGCCATTACGCTGGACCCACACCAAGTTGCTGCAAAACTCAATTTTCATCACCCTAAGGGCCTTACCCCCACCACCTACCAACTGTGCTGTCCCCACCCTCACCTCCGGCCAGTGCAGAGCCGCAGAAAATGACGGCAGCCCTTTTTCAAAGGAGCCTCGCAGACAGTGACATACAGCCCGCACCCCGCGACAGCAGGAGCAGCAGCCCCGCAACCTCCCACGGACCCAGTTTCTCTCCATGGAGCTCACTCTCCCGGCCAGGTTGCGAGGACAGGTGTTCGCTCCGCTTGACAGATGAGGGTGTTCGGAGAAGAGAGGAACATTTGGCACGTTGCTCAAGGTCGAACGTGAATGCAGAGCAGAGCAGAGCTGAGGATGGCAGCACAAGGCCTCCAGCCTCGGCCCACCTCCTGGGTCCCCGGGTAGGCGGGAGGCCAAGGACATTGTGGCTGGAGTCAGACACACTCTCCATGAAGCTTCAGCTCCCCTGTGGCAGCCGCTGTGCTCACTGTCACAGACTGGGGGGCTGTCCTCATGGCGGGGGGGCGGGGAGCAGTCCACAGAATGAGAACGGGCAGGTGGAGGCTCTGCAGGTCCTAAGCCTCAGACTGTGGGCACCCAACCGCACCTTGCCCTCCCAGGTGTGTCATGTGCTGAAGGGGCCTGTCTGCCCAGCGGGAACGTACCGAGCAGTTCCCAGATGACAGATGTGAGTGCAAACTGGCAGAGCTCTGTGGTCTCCTTGGGACACCCCTGGGCAAGCTCTGAGAGACTATGGTTTCTATTATCATTAATTTTTTTTCCTCGTTATTTGCATCTTACCCTGCTTTGGGGCCTGAAGGAAAAAAAAAAAAAAGGAACTGCTAGAATAAAGGCACCATCTGTGCCTATGAACCCTGGCAGGGCCCAGGCAAGTTCTGGAGCCAGGGGGGCTTCACTGGAGCGATGTGGAAGTGCAGCTCCAGGCCAGCTGCCCCGCGAAGCCTGCTTTGGCAGGAGCGGCTCCCTTCGCACAGCTTCCCGAGCGGGCAGGCAGCTCCTCCAATCAACGAGCCACAGAGAGCAGCTGTGCTCCCCAGGGCTCCCTCTCCGACAGCACAGATAATGAGGTTACCAGCCCAGAGACGCCCCTGCAGCCGCGGGCCTCTGGCTGCCAGCCCGCGCCCTTGGAGCCTTCCGGTGACAGCTGTGGTTCCCCGGCTGTCGGAGGGCATTTGTCACAAGACCTGGTGGGCAGGCAGGAGGGCCCTCAGGCAGCTGGCCAGATGCTGCCAGGATCAGCCTTGCCCCATTTTCCAGCTTGTCTATTTTCTTTCTGCTCCCACTACTTGGAGCTGTTAATTTTTTTTTTTTTTTCATCATCAGCTACCCTGTTTTGGTTCCTGGCAGACAAAGCTGGTTTCTCTGCTGATTAGAAAAACAGGGCTTTTTAGGTGCCTGGAGGCAGCCATGCAGGAACAGACTGAGCAGGGAAGCGCGTGGCAGTCACCTTCACGGATGGCAGCCAAGGTCGGCAGGGTTGGCGACTCCAGCCATGGCAACTGCCTCCCCTACCCCCTCCTAGGGCACACCCTGACCAGCCCCATGGAGAGGAGGTGGGTCCTCTCACAAGAGGCAAGGGCAAGAGGAAGCAGGGTTGAGGGACACTGAGTCCATTCATCTCCCATCACTGCATCATACTGGCTCACCCACCAAGCTGATGGGGTCACACTCTTCCAACTGAGGGAAGCTTTGCAGTCCAGTTGGACTCTGGTCTCTGCAAGGGCACACAGCCCTCAGGCCAGGCCCTCCCCATCATAGACTGTAACCCACAATCCAGGTCCCACAAAATTTCTAGAAGTTTTATGGAAAGTTGCGGGCCATCTGTGCATATTTAGGCAAAAGCAATTTCACCTAGGAACAGATGTTCTCTTAAAAGCTTGCATATGTAGGGCTCATCTGCTCAGCAGTATGGGCCAGGATAAGGTAGCTGGTGCCTTTCCTCTCTCTGACTCAGTTTCCACATCTGTAAACAGTGGTAGCAGACTAGGGGAACAGACTCCCACTGCCACCCTGTGAGACACGGTCTTGGGTCATGCTCTCGTGTTCCCTGTGGTCCACCACGGGGAATCAGGGAGGATCAAGGATGCTCTCCCTGGGGGTTCACACCAGAGAGGTTTGGATTTTAAGAAGTGGCAGTACCTACAAAGAGCTGACTGTTGGGAACAGCTGAAGTTCCATGTGAAGATTCCAACCCTCCCCTCCCTCAGCCCATAGGCCAGCAATGTCTTAAACTCCTTCACAATGACCCTCCCTGGTGGTGCAGCAGGTTAGGATACAGCACTGCAAGCTAGCCGTAGCCGCTTCAGTGCGAGTTCGATCCCCACTCCAGAGGTGATCCACATGGCACAGCAGACCTCTCCTGGCCCACCCGCTGCTCCCCTAAGCAGTGCATTACGTCAGTTGGCCTGTTCTGCTCCCCACTCTGCCTCTGGTGAATCTTCTCACTGCCCCTGCACCTCTGGTTTGCACCCAGTTCCATATGCATAAATGAATAAATCTTTAAAAAAAAAATTCCTTCAAAAGGCCAAAGGTGCCCTCCCTGGTGGCGCAGCAGGTTAAAGCACAACACTGAAAAGCTAAAGCCACTTCCGCATGAGTTCGATCCCAGCCTGCCCCGGAGGTGACCACATGGCGTGGCAGACCTCTCCTGACCTGCCCACGGCTTCCCCTACAAGGCCAAAGGGCAATATATTCCCCACCCCACCATCTAAGATTTTAAGAAGTGGCAGTCTCTCCATCTAAGTCAATGTCAGGGAAGGGACAGTCTTAACTTCAACTTGCACTCCCTCACATCCAGGTAGGTCTGACCTCAAGTAAGGACAACCACCATTTCTCGCCTTAGCCAAGGGGGCAGGGTGGCCTCTTTTTGTAGCCATCATTATCTGGATTAAAACAATAAACTCCAACAAGTCTGACTCAACTCTTTCATTCAGGAACATGACATAGGGAAATAATTGGGGATGGAAAGAGATCTGATATTTCCCAGATTCCAGGACACAGCAGGTAGTAGGGAAATAAATAGCATGCTGACCATGTTTAAACCCTTTTGCCTAGTATTTGTTCCATTTTTGCATATTATACAGCTCTCCGGTGACCAAGGACAGAGAGCTCCTGCAGTTATATTGCGTGCAGTTTCCTACATGAGGGGAGAGAAAAGAAGGCCTGGAGTTGATTCTGGTCCCCATGTGCCCCCTGTAAGCAGGGACTTTATCTTGGCCTCTTGATCACAGGCACCTTCCTCTGGAGGCTGCAGGGCTAAGGACAGAGCTGAGAGCCATTGCTAAAGTGTGGTTCAAGGGCAGCCTGCTCTGGAAAGTCTAGTCTTGGAAACATGTGTCATGTGTCACAGGCAGGGGGTTACAACTCAGGTTCCCCACCTGCTAGGTGAGAGCTCAGTTGTTAAAATAAGGGAAACTGATTCCTGGCACAGAGCTGTATACTGGGGAAGAGTCAGAGTGTATCCGTCTCTATTATTATTATTATCATCATTACCATCATCATCATCATTTCATGTAGTCTCTCTCACCCCTTTAATGAGCAGGGGACAGCACTTCTGATCTGAGCTGAAATCAGAGATAACCTTGTCATCTGCTTCAAGGGGAGGATATTAGGAAGTGACAAACCATCGTGAAGCTAAGAGCATCTGGTGACTTTCAAAAGTCTTTGACAGGGTTGCAGAATTGCAGTAAAAAGGCAATTTCTACTGAATGTAGCCTGCTTGGTAGCAGAGCTGCTGTCCAGACAATAACAAGCACTTCTCTCCACAGAGGAGGAGGAGCAGTTATTTTTAAGAACGGCCGCCGGAGGCTAGGGCTCACTGAACACCTGCATAAGGATCTCAGGGGTGCACAGCGCTTCCCTGAGACCTTGGCTTCTGACCAGCAAGCAGTGCAGCTCTGTCCTGGCCTTCCTAGGAAGCTGACCAATTCCCTGGTAATTCTCAGAAGGAAACCGAGGCAGTTCTCTGAGCCTCAGGGTGTGGAGAACAGTGTCTAAGACACCCCCAGAGCGGGGACAGTGGCCTGCCTGCCCAGGGACCTGAGAGGAAGGCTTCCTTTACATGAATCCAATCTGGCTCTCCTCAGATGAGTGGTCTTGGGCAAATTAACTCTCTCAAGCCTCCTTATTCATGCAAATTGGGACCACAATGAGATTTTTAATGTGGGTGTAAGTAGGTATGCAAAGGACAGGGCAGGAGAGTTCCAGAAGGCTTTGCTTTGAGGAAGGACTTCATGTGTTAGTATCCTCCCTTCATTACCTAGGATTTAGATAGTGTGAGAGCATGGCAAGTATTTGAGAACACTGCTGAATGGTTACATTGAGCTCTTTCCCTTTTTTTTTTTTTTGAAATTTAGTCTTGGTGGGTTGGAAGTGGGAAGAGGGTTTCCTCCATGTCTGTTTCTGAGCCTCTGGGCAGGTGAGGGCAGGCCTGATGCCACAGGACAGGCAGGGCCTCAGCCATTCTCGGTTACACCTTTGCTTCCGTGTCCTTAGGCACTTCCAGCCCTGAGCGGTGTAGGAAAGTCTCTTCTCCCATGCTCACCCCCAGACCTCAGAATGGCCCCTGATACTAGGGCTGTAGGAACTCCAGAACCTGAGCCAGAATAACCTGCAAGCCCTTTCACCAGACTGCTGGGATCTAAGGCCACCCAACATGGAGGGTGTAGGTGGGCAGGAGAAGATGCCTCATGTCTTTTCATTTCCTCCTGCCTTATTCAAAAATCTAAATTCTATAAATGACCTCAGCTACCTTCCCACCCTATATCCTGATCATTCCTCCACATTCCACCTGCGACCTCTCGCAAACATGTCTGCAGGTCTTAGCCATCTGGACATTCTCGCCTATTTGCAGAGTACATACAAGGCCCAGGCCTCGATGAGACCTCACTAGGGTGGCAGAGTCAGAAAACCTAGTTGCCAGAGTCAGAAAACCACAGTTCTTGCCTCCAGAGGGCCTCAGGAGTTTGGCGATAGCCAAAGTTGGTGCAGGCAGTCTGACAGTGAGATGGAAAATGGGGATGCCACCTGCGCTCACACACAGAGGTTGGTTCACCAGCCCTCCTCTAGTCGCACAAGTTTTAAAAACCAGAGACTTTCTCATGACACTGGGTGTGACCACTTCAGTGACAGGCCAGGTCTTTACGTTTTTTGAGGGCTCCTGCCTGGCTTTCCCCCTTTTGTCCTATTCCTTTCCCTTCCTCCATCCCCATTTAAATTGGAGTCTGCAAACTGCTTAGGGGTAGGAAGTTTCAATCCCTTAGCAATCCCCACATGGCCTGAAAATTGCCACCCATCAAAATGAGAGCATCTGCACCCTCCTCCCTCTCCTCATGAAGAAGCATGTAAGCCAGAGTCTGGCTGCCCCCGGGGCCTCAATTTCTGCATCTAGAAATGGGCACGATTCCTCTACAGGGACAGGAGATATCAACACCCTTAGAGAGCCTCTGAGCTCCCTTTCACATTTAGCACAAATAAAGCACAACCGTAGTTGGCCTCCCGTTCCTTTTTCCCACAGCAGACCAGTCATGAGAGCCCCCACAGATACATTTGGGATGCAGGGTCCCCAAGATCACACGCACGCGAGCACACACACATACAAACACACAAGCACATACACACACAGAAGGTCCTGACTTGAACCAGTGGCCCAGGTCACACGCACTGCCTCTCCAGGGAGACTTCTTGGAAGGCCCTAGGGTCTCAGGGCCTATAGCACCCTGGTTACACATGCCTTTTGCAAAAGCTGGGTTAATTCAGGATCCTAAAGCAATCTGTAATTCCAAAATGCTTTTCAGAGCCTCATACAGGGAAGAGGCTGCCGAGTCTGGGCCATTTTACAGTGAGAGAGGAAGAAGGGGTGGAACCCCATGGCTGCTAAGAGCAGATGAGGCACAGGCAGCCCTGGCCCAGCACACACTTCAGTGCCCACCTCCCCTTTCTGATGAGTCAGTACCAGATGCAGCCCATGACAGTGCCCGCTGTCTACCTCCCAGAAAGGCTTACCTCTCACCACATCCTGTTCACCAAATCAAAACCCTCTTCCCTAATCCTCTCAATAAGCCCATCCCATGGAGCCTTCTTTGCCTATATTTAAGAACACCAGGCTGGGGAAAGCAGAAGGCCCACAGATCCCTAACTTTAGGAGTGGCCTGTGGGGGCTCTGAGGACAAAGTGAGACAATATGACTTCAGGACTATGGCAGTAAGGGTTAGAGTGCAGATGCAGGAGTCCAGCAACTCTGAATGCAGCTCCTGCTCTGACACTTAATAACTGTGTGATCCAGGCTGGGTCAACTGACTTCTTCCCATAGAGGCTTTTTTTTCTGAAGTATGTCACCAATTCAAAGAGATATGTACACTTGGATGTTCATTACAGCACTGATTACAGCCAAGTTCTGCAAAGACCTAAATGCCCAACAGATGAGTGGATTAAGATGTGATATATATGCCAGTGGAATACTATGCAGCTATAAAAAAGATGGGCTCTTGCCATTTGTGGCAACGTGGTTGGAACTAGAAGGGTCTGTGATAATCAAAATAAGTCAGAAGAAGAAAGATACATAAATTGACTGATTTCACTCAGGTGCAATATAAAGAAAAAGGAATAAATACACTAAACTAAACCAATTCTAGAAATCTAATTGCAGAACTGAAGTTATCTAGGAGAGGAGGAGGCAAGCAAAGGATGGATGAGGCTCAACAGACTATGGTGGAGCACTGTGGGGTGGGGTACCAAAATACATCTAAAGAAGTATAACCTATACATACCCTGAATCATACATGGTATGTGCCAACATTATCTCAATAAAAAGTAATACAGTTAAAAAGTTGGGGGTCTCCTGCTGGTACAGGGGTTGAGTATCAGCACTATCAAACTATCTTCAGCCACTGCCCCTGAGTTCAATCCCTCTGTCAGGGAGCTGACCCACACAGGGCGCAGACCTCTCCTGTCGCAAATGCTGCTCCCCTCAGCAGTGTACTTTGTCGATCTGCCTGTTCTGCTCTCTACTCTCTCTGGTGAATCTCTCACCCCCTGCATGTCTGGTCTACACCCCAGTTCTCATATGCATCAAATAAATAAAAATATATCTTTAAAAGAAAACAATTTAATGAAAAAAAGGCCTCTTGTCTGTGAAACAGGATCAATACAGTTAGTTATTTGAATAAAATGAGAATGAAGGTACAGTAATGGCAGAGCATCTGGCATATAAAAAGGGCAGGAGAGTGGCAGTGGCCTTCTGGTGGGTGAGGCACCACTGGGTGCTCCGTCCTCAAGGACCAAGTTTTCCCTTGCACCAAATCTGGGGTAGGGGCTCCCCTGTGCATTTGACACTTAGCATGCAGGGACAGGGGTCATTTCCGGTGTTCCGTCCACATCTGGAGAGTCACACCTGTGACCATCCCAAGACAGAAGCTAGGTCAGCCCCTGGTCAGATAGTAATAATTGTCTTGGGCCCTGCAGTCTCTATCATTTCATGAGCTTATTGCCTTATCACCATGCACAGCAGTAATATAAGTATAATTAAGTACATGTGGGGTCAACATGCTCAAAAGGTTTATCTGATTGTGACACCAAACTGCAGGATATTGAACTTGACTGTGTGAAGCAGAACCTTTATACTGAAAGCTCAGGAAGATCTAACGGGCTCTCTGTCACAGCACCTCCTGGTCCATGTCCTGGACCCTTCAGGATGGCCGCACAGAGCCCCATGACAGCCTGGGAACGCTCCATTCCACCACCAGAGTCTGAAGGCCCAGGACGCTGGTCTCAGCAGCAGTCCTGTGGAGCTGAGGGAAGCAAGCCTCACTTCAAAGGTCTGTTGGGATGTTTAGTCATACAGACCACAGAAGAGGCATAATTAATCTACCCTGCTTAGAGGAGATAGGGAGCTTTGCAAGATCATTGGGATATTTTAATATTGGCCCAAGAGATCCCAGAATTGAGCAAATGAGGAGCCGTGCCAGAGGAGGCTTGAGACATGGCTGACCCACCCTTTCTCTGACCCTTGAACTAGATAGTTGTCTGGCTATTCAGCTGGCTATCTACTCAGCAGGGACCTGAGGTCAACAGGGCACTCTAAACAAACCAGAGGACAAAGTTTTCCCCATGTTAACTCTGCAAATGCCCAAACAGAACAGAACTTAAAGCTCCAGGGGCCTCCCTGGTGACCTAGGGATTAAGTCTCAGGGCTATCACTGTGATGCTCCAATGCAAAGGCCTGAGTTCAATCCTGGCCAGGGAGCTGACTCACATGGTGCAGCAGACCTCTCTTGTCTCGCCCCCTACTCCCCTCAGCAGTATATTTCAGTAAATTCACCTGTTCTGCTCCCCACTCTGTCTCTGGTGAATCCTCTCACCCCCTCCAACTCTGGCCTACACCCCAGTTACTCTCCACAAAAATAAAGAAATAATTTTTAAAAAAAAGAATCCTAAGGTTCTCTGGCCTCTCTCTCTCTCTCTCTCTCTCTCTCTCTCTCTCCCGCCCTCTCTCTCTCCCCCCTCCACACACACACCATCACATACATACACAGCAGATAAATACACATATAAGCCTAAGTACACACTTAAGTGAACCCTGAAAGAGCAATTGGCTAAATACCCACCCTGAAGATTCTATACAAATGCCACCTCCTTCAGGGCAGTCACTGCCCAGGAAAGTCCCTCCCCAGGAAAGTCCCTCCCCTGACTGTAAGCTCCCAGAGCAGAGGTTTCCTTTTTTGTATGTAAATGTCTGACTAAGGATGCCAGGGATCTGTATCAAAGGGCATCCACTTCAAGGAGAGATAGATCAAACCCACAGCCTGGCAAGTAAGCTCTTACCTGTCATGGCTGGAGTCCTGCATGGAGTCCTGCATAGAGATGCCCGAGTCCCAGCTCATGTCTCCCACTGGTCGCCCTGGAACACAAAACAGAATCAGAGATCAAGGCAGAGCCAAAGGCTGGGCTGCACCAGCTGCCAGAGTATGCTTACTGAGGAGGCGTTCTCCAGAAGCAATCTCCTCCCCGGGCAAAGCTGACCTCCCTGTTTCTCTGCCTGAGAGGTGAAGACAAAGCTTGGCACGGTCACTGCTGGTGGGCAGTGCCATGGCTGAGGAGAACCGTTGGGTCCTCTCAGGGTGAGGAATGAGCTTTTGTAACAGGGAGGGGGGCAGGCAAGATGGCTGTCCCTCTGGTCTGAACACTGACACCTCCCAGCTCCACTACCTGACAGGGTACAGGGCCTTTGTGGGAAGAGGTCGAGCTGTTTGCCCCGCCAAAAGGGCAGTGAGGTCCACGGAGGGGTAAGGGTTCCTATCCTAGGGACATACTCGACATCGCTCTGGAAAGGGCTTCAAGTCACAGGAAAGAAGTCATGGTGGCTCCCACCTCAGGCACAGAGGAGGCTTCGCATTGGTCTTAAGGGGTGAAGGGGCCTTCAGCAGATGGGCTGGCTGTGGTAAACAAGGTCGGACATTCTGATGATTTTGGTGACAGGCTGCTATGGTGTCCCTCGTTTCCTGCCCACCTCCTCTGTGGGTATCTCCTTCCCCTTTCTCCTCCTATTTCCTGTGTGCCTGCTACCCAGGCGTACAGAGTGAGCCTCACCTGGTACAGCTCTGTCACAGGATGGAGTCCAGGCTGGGATTCCCAACTTGGTGGAGCCCTGTCCCCCAACATTTAGCATCTCTTGCAGAAGAAGGCGGTTCTTCTCCACCAGATCAGACAGAGACAAGGTGCTGCCTCTAGTGCCTAGCGCCCCCAAGTCTCCAGTTCTCCAGAGCCCCCCTGGCAGGGCAGGCCTGGGCATAAAGTCCTCTTCGGAGGTCAGAGACACGCTGTCCAGGTCTCCCCCTGTGACCATACCATCCCAAGGGGGGTCTGACCTTCCTTTTTTCAGGGTGGGCATGTAGGAGATTTCATTACAATGCCCAGGGTCCCCACGATGGCAGGCAGTGGCTCTGTGGATGGAGTCCTCTTGCAAATAGCTGAGCCCTGGCAGCGGACCCCTCACATGGTCAGATAGAGTCCACACAGCTTCTGGAGGCCACAAGTTCCTCCCATTCCAGCACTCAAGCTCAGAGGCAGGTGGCCTGTGGGGCCTGGGGCCCTCATTCGCGATGGGCTCCTCCTCATTGACACTGCTGTTCAGCTTCCTGTAGGTAAGGTTCTGAGCAGGGCCCACCACAGCATCAGGCCGGGAGGACGGCTCTGATGGAGTCCCAGCTCCATCCACCTTGACTTTTCTGCCTTTGGGTTTCTTGGGGGAGGGCCACTCGTGGGAAGTGAGGCAGGGGCCGGTCCCCTGCCTGCCTGCTGTCATCTTTTCCTTCAAGGCCCTCACCTTGCATTCCAGCACAGAGGGGCCTTGGCGCTGTATCTTCAATGCCCCGGGAGCCTGGGGGGCCATCAGATTGGATATTCTGTCTTCCTGAGAGTAGGGCCTGGATCTTGGGAGGTGTCCATTATTGAGTTGGGGCTCAGGGTCACTGGTCTCCACAGTTGAGATCACTTTCATGGAGCTGGTAGCTCTGCTCCCTGTTTTGAGTTCCCTGGAAGAGTAAAGAAACAGCTCTTACCAGGCACCTGGCTCACACCAACTCCTGGATCCCCAAGGTGCCATGATATTAAGCCCTGTCCAGTCAAGATTAACTTGGGAACAGGGCAGGGGATGTCCTCTAGATATTGTAAGGACCCACTGGATAGTACAAATGAGGTATTATCGACTGTTTTCTTTCTAGTCAAAATGTTGAATTCTAGAATTTCTATCCCCATTTTATAAATGGGGCACAAGCTTCAAACAATACTAAACCAAATGTGCATCAAAATGAAAATGGGAGTGGGGTTTTCCAACCCCTGGCCTCTGGCTCTGCTGACACCGGGGTCTCACTGGAATATGTCAACATCAGCCAGCAAAGCTCTTCCTTTGCCAGGGGTGCCAACGCAGATGACTGATTGCGGTACCACACAGGAACAAAATCTCCTGTAGTGAGTGCCCTCTGCGCATAAATCTCAGGACCAACCATATACTGGCGGCCACGGGCTGTCACTAGCTCCGATCAACATCTTGCTAGGCAGGACTACAAGTGCTTTTTAACACACTCTCAGTCTCACACAGTTCTGCCAGAAGGAGATTATCGTCCTCACTTTTACAGAGAAACCGAGGCACAGTGAGATTACACACAGCTGCTGAGGTGAGCCCCCTCTGGAATGCATCCTCCTACTTCTGAGACCAGGGTTCTTCCAAAGAACCCAGTGATCATTGGGCCCACTTGCCTCAGTCTGTAGATGAGAATATCCGGTCTCGAAGGTTAAGCAAAGTGCCAGAATTACACAACTCCCCAGTGGCAGGCTGAAGTCACCGGGTCTTCACAGGGCACGAATATGACTACAGGATTTTACTGACTGAGTTCATCTGTGCATATGTGCACATGTCACTGTGGGTTGGTGTCTGTTCTGCTCCCTGAGAAAGCTGCTTACAACATGCACCTAGATGCTTTGTTCCACTCCAAGTAAAACTGCAGATAGAAAAATCTATATTTACCTAAATTAGGAATTAATTATTCACGTCATATATTTATTAAAAATCCAACGTAGAATTCTCCTAAATGGCAAATCCTGTAGTTTATATTTGCTACAAATATATTGTATTTGTTACAGTTCACCCTACACGAAATTCAGGACTGCACATAAAAGCAAAATACACATTATAGCTAAAGTGTCACCTCAGTTTTAAGTTAATGAAACTTAAAGACTATCTTGAGGACGCTGTCATTTACCAGTTAGTCTACAGCGGACCAGCTTTCTCTTGCCTCAGTCATGATTCCTCTCTTCCAAGGTTTAACCCAGAAAGCAGGGAATTAGAACGAAATAGGAGCGATCTCAGTTAAATTAAGGGCGGGTAAACTCTGGAACAGCCCTCCAAAGCCGATCCAGCTCCAGACCTCGAGCACCCTTCCACGGGGCCCCTCTCTGTCAGAGGTTCTGCTTGGGGCGTCCATGGCCCAAGGGCTTTACTTGCCGTAACTCAGGAAAGCTGAAATGAAGATGGACGGACATGAAGGGCAGGCCTCCCCACGACCCTTCCGGTTGGATGAGCGGCCCGCGACTCCCCACTCTGCCCTCCCGCATCCCGCCCGACCTGCCGGGCGCCGCGCCCCTCCGTACTCACTGAGGACAGCCGCTGGCAGGCTCGGCCGCCGCCTCCATCCTCTCCATCCCCCGGAGGGGCGAGGCCCCGCGCCAGCCCCGCGTCCCGCCCAGGCCAGCTGCCAGGTGGCGGCGGGGGACTCCCGGGAGGCGGCCCTCAGGCCTCGCCCCTGGGGCGCTCCCGGTCCCGGGTCCCAAGAGGGGCGCGAGCCGGGCTCAGCTCCGGGGGTTCTGGGCCGAGCAGCCGCCCGGCGGGGAGGGAAAGCCGGGTCGGGCGGGGCCGGGAGGGCTGTGGCCACGGCTGCTAGTTCACGACTTCGTTGAGGGAGCGGCCCAGTGTGGCGCCTTCAGGGCCGGGAAGGGAGAAGGAGCGGGCGAGCGCGGGGTGAGGAGGGGGGGGAGCGGAAGGGGCTGGAGAAGCCGGGACCTGCCCCCTCCGCCCCGAGGCCCCGCGCGCGGGCTGCGTCCCGGGTGTCCGGACGCGGGAGCGCCGCGGAGCCGCTTCCCGGGTGGCAGCGGCGACGGGGCGGTGACTCCCAGACGTCAGAGCCGCGGGAGGAAAAGCGAGGACCCGGCCTCGAGTTTGGGGACCACGGCCCTGCGCCGGGCCTCCGGGGGCGGGCCCCCTACCTCCTCCCCTCACCCTTCATCCCTCGCCCCTCGGGGCGGGAACCCGGTTGTGTAGACGAGCACGCTGCGGGCGCCTGGGGATGTGCGTGCTGTTCCGGCAGCCCCGTCTGCTCTGGGGACGCAACTGTGGGTCAGGGCGCAACGTGAGCAAAAACCAAGAAACTCCACGTTTCCCCCAAGTTTCGCGGAAATGCTTGTAACTCTACACCCCCAAGACCAGGAGAGGAGGCCCGGCTCGTGGTGGAAGCTAAAGAATGCCCTCTGCTAGCTTCCCGAGGAGTCAGCGCTCTCACTCTCGCCTCGGCACGGGTTTCCGCCGTGGTCAAGGCTGTTGTTTCCTCTTCTAGAGGCACGAGGAAACACCGGGGTGGTCTTGGGTCCCCTCATTCTGTCCTGCCAACGATGAGGTGATGTAAGTCGCCTTGTGTGGGGACCAGTCCTCAGGGTTCTGGGGACTCCTGAAGAGACACTCCCCCTTTTATCAGATCTGGGAGGACTAGCAACAAGGGCTTTTACCCGCCACTGTCCCAAGCCACTCACCCGTCCTCCCTTCCTGTGGGAACCTCGCCTATTTCCAAAGTGGTCTTCTTTTTCCCCCCACAAAGACGGGAATCAATAAAAGCACCCGAGATTCCAGAAATTTCTACAAAGGGAAAGTGGCCGTTCATTTTTCCTTCTGTTAAGGAGCCTCACTCTCAAGCGGGGCTCCTCAGCTATTTGTACTTGTCACCATAAATGACAGGCACCGCAACAGGAGGGCCAGGCAGTGTGCTAAGTACAGGCAGGGGCCTCAGGGGAAGGAGCTTTGGGAAGGTCTGCCTCTGGACAGAGCTGCAGAAACCCCTCAGAAGGTGGGGGAAGAAGGAAAGCTGGGTGGGACAAGAACACCCAGGCCAGACGGCAGCTGTTTGGGGGAGCTTTGTGTATCTGCACCTATGTGTATTAACCCTGGGATGACTTAGGAACCTGAGAGATTCTCCAGGGAGACCCCTCTGTGTTACAAGGCTGGCCCTGGGTCCCACAGCTCTGGTGACTTAATCCTGAGTGGGGCCAGCCCATCCCCAGCCATATTCCCAGAACACACAATTCCTCCCACGGGCACTACCCACTCTCTGCTTATTAGTCCTGTTGGGGAAACAATATGGCCAGATCGCACTCCACCCCTATCTCCATGTCAGAGATCCCACATGCCCAGGACTATGAGGTGAGGACTTGGAAAAGGCACATGGAGCAGAGAGATTTGTGGAGAAGCAGCTGTGGTTGCTTCTTGGTCTTGAACTTGGACCAAGGACCTGGGGGGCATGAAAGGAGACACTTGAAAGAGGCCAGGAGGAGGTTAACAACTGCAACCTTTATCTTGATTTAAATTTTTCTCTTTGTCTTCCAGACTTGCCTGGCACCTTCTGCTCCTCACCTGTGGGTCCCCACCAGAACATGCCTTAGATGCGTGGCAAGCTTTTGAGCCAATTGTGTTTGGCTGGGCATTTATTCACCCATGAGGGGACGGGTAACTTTGGATGTTTGATTTAAAAACTATTTTTTCTCTTTTTCTTCTGTCTATTGCATACTCTTTCTGCTAAATCTTCTTGTTGAAGGTCTTATGCACTAGAGTATGTTTTGGCTTCATAGCAGGACTCATTTAGAGTAGGAAGGTTTGGGGGTCCTAGGGTACCTCTCTTTCTGCCCTGTAACAGTCCCCATTACTTTATAGTCAGTAACTGGTACCATTTGTGAACTGGCATTGGGCTTTGTATTGGACATTCCTTATCTCTTATTGTGATCTTAAGAGATGGGTTCTGTTGATTGTCTCTTTCCTGCAGGCCAGGAGTGGAGTTAGGTGATCTACCCAAGGTCACAGAGCTAATAAATGGCAAACCTTCTAGGGCCCAAAACACACAAGACTCTTTCCTCCAGGTGTGGTGTTGAACTAGTAACAGTAGTGGGATATTAGGGCTCAGACACTCCACATAGGAAATTTTCAACAAACCTGCAAAGTGGGTACAGTATCTCCCCATTATCTTTTATCTATACTCTGATAAAAGAATCAGGGTATAGAGAGGCTACATGACTTGTTAGAAGCCACACAGCTTGTATAGTCAGAATCTGAACCCAGTTCTGTGTGGCACAGAGATCTTTAGCCTGGCTTCCTTCTTTCAGCCCAGGAACTGGACTCTGTGAGTTAACAAACCATGACTCTTGGTCCTGCCCCTCCCCAGAAGTTAATGATCTGTAAATCAAGTTTCTGAAAGTATGGCAAAGGCTTACTGTTTAAAGCAAACCTGTCCCCCAACCTTTTGAGATGCAAATGATCACTTTCAGTTTACTTATTAAATTTATTTTGCACTCGATATAGGGGAGGATGGAGGCTTCACAAGGCACCTGTCTTGAAAATAACAAGCAAATTCTCAGAATGTTTAACTTTCACAGCATCTGTCCAAGGGCACTTCTTCACCTGGACTTTGTTTGATACAACAAATATTTGTTGAGCTCCAACTATGTGCCAGGCAGTAGGGAGACAAAAGGTAATACTATGTATAGGTCCTGTCCTTGAAGAATTTAGGGGAAGGAGGGGCAGAAACATTTTCTATATAAAGTTAGCTTAGGATGGAGGTGGCAGTGGCTCAGGGGGATACCAGGATTGAGCTGTGTTTTGGCTGGGTGGGAGTGTTAGGGAAGTTGAATCTTGGAGACTGAGCAGGAATTAGCCAGATGGAGACCCAGAGGGAAGGCACTGCAGATAGATTAGCATAAACACAGGTGCCTACAAGTGAACCTGCTTGGGTTCGGTGTCACTAAGTGTGAAATTGAAACTGGGAAAGGCCAGGGTTGGACTGAGGCTTCAGAGCACTGCTGGGGTGGTCTGATGGGATCTCTGGGGTCTAAGTGAGGAGCTTGGACTCCATGTTGTCAACTGGGATACCCCAGAAGATGTTCTACACCCCACTTAGCCTTTTAACACGACACATTTCTGGGCCCTGGGAGCTTCCTATGTCCTTATGTAACAGGGTGGTCCCCAGAAAAAGGGGAGGTTCCAGGTTCCCTGCCCTTCCCAGAAGGAAGGTGGAGCTGAGCAGAGAAGAGAAGAATTTGGAGAGGATACTGAAGAGGAAGAAAGCAGGATGGAGAGCCAGGAGATCTGAAGGAGGTACATGGAGCAGAGAGACATGTGAAGAAGCAGTTATGTTTCTTGGTCCTGGACTGGTTGACACAGATGTGGGGAGGTTGACTATGGCAGCATTGATCTTGATTTTGATTTTGCTCTCTTCCTCCCAGACTTGTCTGGCCATTTCTGACCCTTTTCCATGGGTCCCCACCAGAAGGTGCTTTAGACTTGTGGCGGGCTTACAGGCCTTGCTTTGGGCCAGTCCCTTTTGGGTGGATTTTTACCCACAAGGGGAGGGGTGACTGAGTGTTTGACTTAGAAACTATATTCTTTATGTTTGCTGTATTGTATTAAATACTTGATTGTATTAAAGTTCCTTTCCATTAAATGTCTTACATGTTTTGTCTTGATGTGGTGGATGGCATAACCATCTATTTAGAGTGGGCAGGTTTGGGGGCTCAGGGGTGCCCCTTTCCCTGCCCTGTAACACTTATACCTCATATTGGTTCATTACCACAGTCTGAGACATAAAGACATAAGGAGGAACATAATATCTGCTGGGTAGCAATTACCCAGCCCTTTCCCTCCATTTGAAAAATTAGGAAAACCTACTGTACAAGATTCCATTACTAAGCCTAAATGAAAACACAAGCTTCATCCCTCCTCCCCACCTTCCCCAACATGCTTTGAACACTCAGACTGAATAAGGAGCTTTGTGGGGTGTGGATGATGAAAATGGGGAGAGAGATGATCCTTTGAGGTGATGCTATGAGAGCCAGGTGGGGCGGGAATGGGGTGGAAGGGATGCCTTTGCCATCTCGCTCTGCACTGCTTGAAGGAGCTTGTCTAACTGGAAACTCCAATTTCCTGGCCAGTCCTGCCTTGGTCCCAGGGCACCAGTCTGAGGAGCTCATGGAGAGCCGATCACAGCAGCAATGTCTGATACTCCCCAAGGCACCAAGACCTCCACTTGGGCCCTTCTCGTTTCTTCCCAGTAGAGACGCTGCAGCGTGTCAGACCAGGTCTCCCATCCAGGACCTCTTGAGGGCTGATCTGACAGTTCCTCTGAAGACTGTCCTGGGAGGCCCATCAGTGGGAAGGCTGGTTCTGAGGTCTCACGCATGGATACTCTGATTCCCTAGGTTTAAGTAAGGCCCAGGAATTGCTTCCCAGTAAGTTTCCCTGTGATTTTGAGGGGCTCCAGTCCTGGTGCTTAAAATCTTAACTCCCTTACTAGACACATGGGTTCCTCCAGTCTCAGCTTTTGGTAGCACATCCTGCATGTGCGTCATATGGAACTGCTTTTTGTTTGCTCGACTGGCTAATCTTTTTCTGTCTCCTCGCCTCTGCCCAGGCTTTCCTTCAACCTGAAACATCCGACATTTCACTTCACTCACACAGACATGCCCATCTCAAATTGGTATCTCCTACTTGACCAGCTACAGGCAACTCAAAATTTGCCTTCTCAGGAAAATTATCCCCAATACCTTCCACCTCACTGCTAACCTGTGTGAGTCCACTCCCTCCTCCTTTTCTGCCAGAGCACTTATCACACTGAGTTTTCAACATCTGACGCTTCACAGAGAGATTCCGGATCTGTGCTTGTGCCTCTCGCTCCTAACAGGTGACTGTCACATGAAAGGTACTAGCTAAATGTCAGATGGTTAAACGGAAGGAGAAAATTCCTGTCAGGTAAGGATGTTTCAGAGAAGAGAGCCACAGCTTGCTAGGCAAGGATGGAGATCACGTGGAAGGATTTGGATGAGCGGGGCTTGTCACCGGCAGGGCTTCCCTTCTGAGCCCCGCTTAAACCTCCTGCCTGCCCAGAATGATCACTGACCACAGACGTGACATACACTTCCAATCTGAGTAAGCCGGCAAACTTGGCAACAAAAGAGCTAGGAGAAGAAAAGAGTCATGGAGGGTCCAGGAGAAGACAGACAAAAGCAAGAAAAACAGGCAGGGAGAGAGCACCAGAGGGGCTCACAGGCAGCAAGACCTCGCAGCACCCCCCAAGAGCACCACCCCGTTTTCTTGTCTGTCTGCCCAGACCTACCCTCACATACACACACATGAACACGTGTATGCTGGGTTCTCCCGCCACATCTGCCTGAATCAGCTGAGACTCAAGGAGAACAGAAGTGAGGCTCTTACCCGGTTAGGCTCAGACTGCCCTGCAGGGAGCTGCTGGCATGTGGCAGAGATGTGGACTCCAGGTCTCAAGGCCTCTGATGCCCACTCTCTGCGTATCCACCAAGTCCAAACCTTTCATAATACTAAACACAGGAAATAGGAAAATGCTCTGATACTCTGGCCCGTCCTCTTCCACGCCTGCTCTGTGGGAAGCCAGCCTCAATTTGACTCCTGACTTCGAGCTGTCTGTCCACCATCGCTGTCATCAGCCAAGTCAGTTTTTCTCACCTATGCAATGAGAACAGATTCATTCAGCTGGGAGGAAGCTGCCAGCGAACCACTGGCTCCATGGTCCTGTTTGTGAAAGTGCTTAGTCTTAAATTAGTGATTCACTTGAGACACATACAAGATTTAAAAAAATCCTATCAACAT